CTGGATTACCATTAATGGTACAGACAAATTAATCAGGGAACCAAGGTCTGGGATTCTGCAGTACTTGCTTCTCTCTCACTCTACTGTGATCTTACATCCTGCTTTTTACTTTTGCTCCTTGGAATAACTTTTTTCCATGCTCTGAGAGAACATTCTTGGCTTTCTTCCTCCTTCTAGGAACTGTCCTTTAGGATTCTTTGGAAGGATCTGTCAGTTCCCTCCATTTTTAAATCCTGAGCTGCTGTAGAGCTCAGAGATCTTCTGTGCTATCTGTATCATGCATTAGTTGGGGGCTGTGGCTGAGTGTCAAATTTGTACACATACTACGCACAAATGCCCTCCATACTTGAATCTTCAGCCCTACCCTTTCATTGCAATGTAAATCAGGGTATTCTCCATTGTTCAATGGTGCCTCATTCTTGTCTAGTATTAACCAGATCCTTATTTTCTACCCACAAATGTCTCGCAGTTTCTTGAGTTTCAGTAAAAATCTCCACCAAACACCCAGAAAATCATGTCCAAAACCTCACTGTCATTCTTGCCTTCTCTGCATCTCACTTCCAGTCTTCCAGCAGATCCTAGCTTTACCTTTCAGAGAACACCCAGATCCAATTATCTCTCAAGCTGTGGCGGTCTCCTGCCTGAACCCCACCACAGCACCTCACCTGCTCCCCAGCTCCATCTTCCCCTCAGTCTGTTCACTGCCATCTCTGGAGACTGATTTTTAACAAGTGAGTCAGCTCATGTTCTTTTCCTGCTCACAGCTCACTGACAACTTCGCTTCACAGTGAGAATAATATTGGAACTGTTTATAGCAGCACACATTCCCACATGGGGCACATCCATCGGGGCACCCTCCTCTGCTGGCCTCTCAGCACCTTGTAGGCATGATGGCCCCCTTATCATTGCTTCACTACTTCCTTCTCTCACTCATTCATTTGCTCATTCATTGATTCAATGGATACATATTAAATCCCCACTTTGGGTGAGACACTGTTCCACGAGTCAGTTCTACAGACCAACGGCCCAAATGCAACAGTCCTGCTTCCAAGCAGCCTCCATTTTTGTAGAGAAGGATGCAACAGAATGAACCTAGCAAATCAATAATTAGAGATAGCAGTTGCAAGAAAGAAAGCAATACACATAAAGAAGAAATGAAATGAAGGGCTTGGAGAATGCTTTTGATAATATCCAGTGGGTTCTAAGTCTTACACGAGAGATGACACTCATCAGGGGCACCAAAAGATGTGAAAGTATGAACTGTGCACACGGCCAGGGACAGACGGTGGCAGTGACAGCAGCCAGCAGCAACTGGTGAGGTTAAGGTTGTACGAGCATCTGCGTCTTTAGCAAGGGACAGGGAACAGGAGAGAAAGAGAAAGTCAGAAAGATAGCAGCAGTCAGGTTGCACAAAGGCCTTGAAGTTCATCATAGGTTTGTCACGCAGTACCTGGCTGAAATTCCCTTTTAAAAGGCTCATTTGGTATGGAAAGGTGCAAGACAAAGCAGAGATGGTTGTTCACAGGGCCCGGGGAAGCGCCAAGACAAATGAGTGTTTCCCTGCCCAGAGGCCCAGATGGAAAGAATTCAGTCTCCAATCTTCCTTGTGATCTGAAGGGAGAACCATCAGGATTTGCTGGTGGAAAGGTATATGGTGTCAGAGAAAGAGCACAATGGAGGACGATTCTGTTATGTATGGGTCCGAACAGCCAAGCATTTAATGGAGTCATCCTGCCACAAGATGGGGAGAGTGAAGGGAACATGTTAAGAAAGGCCTGGGACACAACAGTTTGATTTGCAGCACAGCAAGCTTACGATGCTCACTCTGACACCCCAGGGAAACGTCAAGTATGCAGTGAAATGCATGTCTCAGGAACCCCAAAAAGACGTTTCAGCATTATCCACTATAAATAACACTGAAAGCCATGGGATGGGTTGCACTTTCTGTCTTTGGGTGTAACGGTGAAGACAGGATCTCTGGTTTGTTCTGTTTTATCACTAAGTTTCATAACAGTACCTGACACATGGTTATTGCTCAGTAGCTATTTTGAATGAACGAAGAATAAACAACACATCCCAAGGTAACACAGGTCCAGGATAAATGCCTTTTGGATTAGCACAGCAGCTGGCATAGAGTGGCTTCTCCCTAAGGACAGGATACATGATTGACAGGTGAAACATGACTCAATATATAACTAACTGGACTGTTCTCAAAACTGGAATTGAGAGCAGTGTCTCTGAAATACTCGGTTTCCATTCCTGTCTTTTGCTTTGAGGCTTGAGTAAGTGTGGTAAAGCTAAGGTAAAGCTAGGTAAAGCTAAGCAGAGTAAGGGTTGGGTGTGCTGGTAAATTTTAGCTTCTCTTAGAACCACGGAGTGAGGGCAGATTCCTCTGGCAGAGGGGCCATAGGGAAAAGGCTCTTCCTTTATGTCAAGCCACGGGGGAAATGGGGGAATCTTCTGGAAGGGAATGTGAGCTCCACAGTGACTCCCCAGGGGGTCAGATCAGCTTCTAGAAGCTCAGCCCTGTCTTGTCCTATTCCTGCTCTGCTCTCTCTAGTTTTTAATTCAAACTGCTCTCACCTTCTTCTCCCTGCCCATGTCCCTCTCCTTCTGTCTTTGCTTGCTGCTGTCTTTCTCCTCTTCTTTCTGCATTCCCATTCTTTTGTTCAAAAAGGGTCCTCCCAAAAGGAGAAAAGATGTGTAGCATCCTACTGGGAGAGAACCAAAGGCAAAGAATTGCCAATTCTGAAGAGCCTTTCCCTTTCTATTGCAATGTTTTGTGCGTGCCCGTATCAAATCTTTAAAAGATATACTAACATTAATAATACATAGTTTGCTTTGTTCAGTTCAATTTTGTCCTGATCCAGAGGGCTCGGAATGTAAGGCATAGGAACTTGTTTATCCCATGCTTCACAAATAACAGGATGATTGCTCCGACCCTGCTTCTATCTGTCTTTTTTCAATTCTGTTTTATTTTCTGGGTGCCAAACAGTTGTGGTTGGTTGTGGGATCCTGGTAACTTTTGCTAGGGCTACCTGAGAGCATTTCCCAGCTGTCACCAGCTGTGCATCCCATAGGGGGGGCCCCTCCTCATATGGAAGGGGCTTCTGCTGCCTGTTAGGGCTCCTGTCTATCTACTTTCTGGTTTCTGATACAACCACCTTGACCCCAGAAAGCTGTGGTATCTCTTGCCAGGTTTCCTGAAAATCCAAAAGTTTTCTCAATAATACTTCTGTAGATACAGGAAGGTAGTTTCCAGCTGAGAAATGATGGGTTTGCCTTTACACACAGCCATGTGACTCACACACATGACCCGTGGGCTGCTGCTTATGATAAAACTGGATAGCAATTACCTCCTTTAAAGCAGACTTTTGTCTTTTGTACTCAGTAAAATTCTGTGCTGGGCATTTTGCAAAAATATGACAAAAAGTTGATTTTTTTTTTTCACAGAGTGAGTTGAAGTAAAAACTGATCTTAGTGTATTTCCTTTTCTTTTCTCTTTGACAGCAGAAGAAAAACAGGGATTTGTTTCCTCCCTAATGCATGTCTTTTTCCCTTCCTGTCTCTTTCTAGATTGATGGAATTGATATTCTAATAATTCTCTAAGAGGATGGTTCCGCATGAGGAAGGAGACAAAAACCTCAACAACTGGAGTATCTTTAGTCAGCAGTACGGAAGAAAAAAAAAAAAAATGCTAGCATTGTTGTCTTGGAATATTTCCATACTTTTGTGGCAAGCAATTTAAATTTACTACAGAGGACATGGTTGCTCTGTGGGAAGATTCCAACCAAATAGCAAGTAATTTTTTGCTCCTTTTTAACAGCAAGCATTTGTTGCAGTAATTTCCCCTCTTCCACCTATGGACGCACACCCAGCCAGGACGTGTGTAAAAGAAATTCAGCCTGGTGCCCTGAAACTTTTCAAAGACCTGGAAACTCAAGGGCATTCTGAGTTGATGTAGACTCGGTTTTAAGCAACCTCTTCCATACTCTGCAGCCAGCACACTTTTACTAAAAGGGATTCTCATCATCCAAAGTGTTTTCCTTTTGTTCCTGCAGTGCTTTTTTAAACTTCTGCATCATCGTCAGCACTTCGTACCCCATCCAGACATTCATTCTGCATTTGCATGATCTGATCCATCATTTCTTCCATCCTGTTCCATTTTGTTCCATTTTACTCCACACACATGTATTGAGTATCCATCCATTATGTCTCTATTTCTGGCTTGTTGGAGCTCTCAGTTAAGTTAAGAGTGACAACAGCAATAACATTGATACTGATAACTATCATAAGACAACTACTATTTCAAATAGAACATTTATGCTTTAAAAGAGATGTGCAAAACATACTCTAGGGATTAAGAGGAGGAATTGGAAAGAGTTGTGCATGTGTTGTGTAAGGATATTTGCTTCGAGATCACACCTCTAAGAATGATCCTACCATCCAGAGTGCACTACATATCTGTCAGATCCATTTGGCACAGCTTGTGATGATTACAGACTCACACAGGCATGTTTACACATGGTGATGAAGTCAGCATTTCTGCATGGGTGTGTGAGCCATGTGCACCAAGAGATCCCTGAGTGAGCGCATGCAGTGAGTGCTCAGCACTGAAGATGAGCTGGGGTTGCAATTGGTTCTGGATGGATTTAGAGCAAGCTACCACCTGTGTCCTTTATAAAACAGGCTTTATTTAGTCTTGTGTCTTTCAGATTATAAGGAATTGTTATTTCAGAGTACTTCTAAACATGTTTTCTAATACTTCTTTGCTCTCCGGTTTTGGAAAGTCACTCTACTCCTCTGGGGAACACTGGCACTGCTCCTGAACTGTAAATACTGGGTGGACACTTAGTAGATTGGCCCTTCATGGTGCTGGTCTGCACTGGCTGTTGATAGGCCCCTGCCAACTTGGCTGAGGAGATCCAAAATCTAAGCCCACCCAAGCTTCAAACATTGTGTTGCCTTTGGGATCACACAAACAACATCAGAAGGAATAGTGAGCTTTCCTACACCCAGAGTTTATTGATATATAAAAACAGTGAAAACTAAGATTACAGATTAAAGTCATACAATTCCATGGTCAGTACTCAGTACAATAATATAAGATGCTACTATGGCACTTTACATGGAAATAGAAAATTATGGTCTTCAAAGAGAAGATGTAGATAAATTAGAGAGCTTTCCACAACAGCATTATATTATCATTTGTTCACTGAGTATATTATAAACAGGTCTCTTACATACATTGGTTCATCTGGTCTAGTAATGATGCTAAAGACAAGCATACTCCAAATGCAATTCCAAATTCTTTCTCATAAAACATGTTCCTTACAAACTAAACAACATCTAGGCTTCTATTTCCACTGAGCATAGCCAAATGATAGATTTTTTGCCTGTATGATTTAAATAGAAGTATGCTAGGGACAATTTCTTTTTTTTGAATGACATAAAAAATCCCTAGGACAAATACTTATTCCATTTTTCTCACACAGAGCATTGGCATGCCTGGGAAGCTTGCTTCTTTATGGAGGCGATCATGGTCTATGTCAGTGGCCCCCAAGCCTCATGCAATTATGGACTTGAACAAATCTAGTGTTTGTGATTGGTTCATTGCCTAGCACTCAGATTGGTGATGTGAGTGCTACACCTACCTAGGGGTGGAGCCAGCATATGATGTTTCAGCAGGAAGAAGCCATGTCTCTCTCTCTTGCTGACTTGTGCCTTGCTGTTTGCAGCAGCCATGAATGGCTGCCCCACCATGCCATGCTGCCTTGGAGCCAACTGAGTATGGACTGAAACCTGAAGAACTGTAAGAAATAAACCTTTCCTTCCCTAACTTTGAGCATCAGGTGTTTTTGTCTCTGCGATGAGTAAAAAATAACTAAGACAGAGGCTGAGCAGAGACATCTGCCACAGAGTCAGAGGCAGAGGGAGGACAGCAGAAAGCAGTGCTGGAGTGAGCCAGGAGTAATTGTGAGAAAGATGAATTCCTGAAGACTTGAGCACTGAGGGCAGTGGAGCGTCTGAGTCCCTGTGAGCATTCTCAGCATGAGGGCAAGGAAGAAGTGGGAAGTCCCAGGGGTCTTCTCACAGTGGACTGAGCAGGCTATTGATGAAGAGGTCAGGGATGTGACAAGGCTGGGTGACATGTAACATTTCAGGCCACTGTATGGCCTTTGGGTTCATCTCTGTGTATCTCCTTGGGGTAGCTAACAAAGATGCAAAGGAAAATGATGAAACTACTGCAGCGTGGGAGACGATGCTTGTCGCACTTTTCCTTTTTTTGCTTGTTTGTGTTTTGCTTTCTGTTTTTGCAGCATTATGTGTGGTAGTTTAGCTTATTTGCTTGCAGTCAATTAGTAAAACACAGATCTCTCTGAAAGCTTCCAGAACACATTGACAAAGATTTTGTCCCTTTAGTGGGCTGAAACCCATGGCATGAACAAGAGATCACAGTTTTAAGAAGCCTGAGGCACTTGTCCAAATAGTTCATCTATGTTCATAAATCCTCCCTTCAATCCTCCCCTTCAAATAAACTCTTAAGAGGAGGAAAACGTCTTATTTCAATATTCCATTTAAAATCAAAAGAAATGTATTGCTGAGAAAACAATGTCTTCTAGTAACCTTACACAGATTAGTTTTTCAAAGAGAAAACACAGAGGCTTTGCACACCAATTAACCATACAGCCAAAACACTCCATATAAAGCACTAAGCACACTCCTCAGCTTGTGTCCTTCCTTATGAATCTCATGGCCCAGTGAAGGCCCATAGGTGTGTACATTTCTCTCTCTCCAAATGAACTCTAACTGTGCATTCATTGTACTGAAAGAAACATCAATGGCAACTAAAAGTTTTGCTCTGCAGCTTGAGGCTTGCAACTTGCTCAAGTGAAGATAGCAGAATTACATAACTTTCCCCAAGAATTATTCAACAACATTGTCTATAGATGTCACTATCTGTCCAAACTGCTCAGCTATCTTCACATTCCACAACTCCTCCACACAGGAAGTTTCATTTTTAGTTCTTGGGGGTATCAAGAGTGCCCTGATGTTTAAAATGATATGTATCAAGACATGGTGGACTGTTTTATTGGTAATGGGGCACCCTATAGATTTGAAGAGGAATAAAAATTCACATTTTGAGTAAATTTTGTTGTTCCAAACCTTTGGGGAAAATGAAATCCAGCAGAGGCGGGTATGAGCTCCATAAATGGATTTGAATTTAAATGGAGAGTGATTCCTATGGAGATGCTATTTCAATCCTTCTGCAACCTTAGACAGAAACCATGGTTTCAGAATTCTGTGAGCACGCTATACCAGTAGGAGGGATACATGCTGACATCCACACAGGACTTTGATCCAGGGTGGTCAGGCATAGAAAGAACAAGAACCAAAGTTGGGCAAGGCCACCAGGGACTAAGCTGGAGTTGGGATGTCCCCAGATGGAAGGTGATGAGGGAGAAAAAAAATCCTTTTCTCAGCCAAGGCCACAAACAGCTCCTGGGCAATGACTAGGCAGGCAGCCTGCACAGACAGCTTAAATTCAGATCTGGGGGACCAACAGTCACCAGGGTTAGGTGTGGCCAGCTTCTTCAGAAAGGCTGGTGTTGAGGTCTTGCCAAGAGATTAGATTTTGTCTCAGAGCTGTGTGTTAGTACCCTTATTATTTGGGGCACAGTACCTTGATTTATAAGACAGAAAGCCCATTGGTTGCCTGCACAGGGCTGAGTCATCACAAACTGGAAACCACCCATCTCACAGGCAAGACACCTCTGGAAAAACCAGATTCATCCTCTATAGCTCAAAGTCTGGGATTCTAATGCTTGGGACTGAATCTTGTCTTAATGCTCAGTGGCTGCAAGGCAGGATTGTGGGAAACTGTTTTACCTTTCAGGGCCTCAGCATCCTTAAAGGAAAATGAGGAGAACAGCAGTAACCACATCACAGATGGCCCTGGGGAGGAAATGGGCCTTGCACACAAAGACAAGCTAGCAATTGAGGCAATCCAATGTGTGTCAAGTATCGCGTTAGCTGCAGGGAATTTGCACACTCTACGCTCTGTTAACAGGCAGCGATATTCAAACACAGTGCCAGCATCCTCAGATACTTTCTGGGTGTCCACCCAAGTCTGAAGAAGCAGTGAAGATGAAGGTCACAAGTTGTGAAGTGTAGATCTACAGGTTCTTAATCACCTCATGCATTAAATCAGGACTGAGTCAGGACATTGACGCTAAAACAAATCTGAAAGTGACAAAATGAAGCCATTCTTAGAACATTTAGGGAAATTGAGTTGCATCATTAGATGGTACCTTAATGATAGCATCCTTTCTTGGTACTGTCATTTCCACCTTTAACTGAATGTGTTAAGTTCGTATAAGAATTGAGATTTATGAATTGTGCATTATTGTTGAATATATAAAATCCTCATCTAAATACATGTATACTCTTACAACAATTTGAAACATCTACAGATCAGGTGAATTTAGGCGAGTTTGGAAAGTACAATTTACAATTTCAGGAGGAAAGGTAAACTTTACAGTGGCACAGGGAAGAACATGCTAAGGTCACTTCCAGGAGCAAGCCACATCCTCTGAGGGAGTGGGCTGAGTGGCCCTCTAGTGTTGTTGTCTTGTCCCTGTGTAGGCTGTAGGTCTGCATGGTCTTCTCTGTCTAACTGGAAGCCAGCTTTGCGGAACCTGCCCTTCTATGGGACCGTTTCATTCTACCTCTCCCTTTCAGACCTATCACTGGACTATTGTCCTTGCATCATTCAAGGTTTTGGGCTCTCCTAGCCCATACCTGCCTGAGGAGCTGCATACAGACAGACAGGCAGTTTTACAGGCTGAGGGGCAGGACTGTCATGACCGATTCTGGTAGAAATAACCACAGAGTCCTTAAGCTTCTCACCTTGTGCCATTTCAGTAGCTGATTTCCCTAAAATTTTAGAAAAAAACCAAATCTGTTAACATGAACAGAATGGGAAAAAGAAAAAAGAAAAGAACAAGAAACAGCCAGGCGATTTCAGCTAATTCCTAGTTAATTAAGGCTTGGCTAATTCCTGGTTAATATGGCCTTAATGATGGGGTGAGGAGAGGGAAGGGTAAGGAAGTATTTAGTTCTATCTTGAGGATAAAGAAGCTCTTACAGAAGGCTTGGCTTCTGAAACATGTTTCCTTGGGACCCATGAGGTGGGGAAAACAAGGAAAATCCAGGGGAGAGGATGTGGGATCATTTGCATGATTGAACGGTGACATGGAAGCATACACAGGCAAGTGAGGGGGCGGACGTCCAAGTGGGATCAGCTGCCCTGCCTTCTGGGGTTCTCTGCCCGTGGCTTTGCCTGACCAGCCCAACGCTTCTCCAGCCTCACCCAGAGCCCTCCCCAAGCTGACCCCTAGCATGCCAAACCCCAGAACCACCGCTGTGCAGCAGTACAGTGTCACTTCCCTAGGTGGCCAGGATTCTCCCCACTCTGCTTGCTGTCTTTAACCTTTCCTTTCCCTTCCTTTCACAGCTTCTCTCCTTTCCCTGATACTTCTGTTTCCAGTCCTCCTGCCCCCACATCCGGGCCTTCTCACCTGCAGTTTCCGGTCTCCGCACTATGCTCCAGTTGCCTTCCCCAGCTCTGGTCCCCTCTCCCTAGATTCCCATCCTCTCTTTGTGCTGCTGTGGAGCTCCTGCTCTCTCTGCTCCTTTCTTGCTTGCTTTCCTCGGAGCATGACAGAATGAGGACACTGAATACAGTTACAGTAATGTCAGCAGCTCAGGGGAGAAACATGCAAAGTAGAAAAAAGGGAAAAATAGACCTTTTTAATTAGATATCTGTGCCACTGACTCACACTTAATATGCAGATTTTAACCCTTCCATTGTTAAGTGAAGTGGGAGTTTTACTCAAAGGTGGAAATGGCTGAGAGATGAGGAGGGGTAATTAAGCAGCACTGCAATGTAAAGTATTGCTGTCCTCAATGTGGTAACACAGGCAAGGAAAGGGCCCATGCTTCACTTGGGAAGCAGGAGCCTTAGATTCCTTCACTCGGAAGACGATGGCAATGGTGACCTATTTTACGTGTACAATGGACTCGGGTTCAGAATTGGTTTTGTATCCCATATTTTCCTTGGCCCTTAAGCAGTATTCTAAGTTTCTTTGGGTGGCCCATTGTGCAGATGCAAACTAGAAGCTCCAAACTATGTGTAATTCACTCATGATCTCCTGACTGCTGAGTGCCAGAGTCATCTGGGAGGTTTGTCTTTATCCTGCAAGGGCCAGATGTAGGATTTTACACTAATGGAGATGGTTTGATTATAGGGGCAGTACAAAAAAATCTCAGCTTCAAAAATTAGCATGCACTTGTTTTGTTTCTTGGTATTAGTTTGAAAATAAATTTAATAAAAGTAAAACATTCAATATGTATACCTTCATTTACTGATGATGTCTTACTGTTACTGTGGGGGCCACAATCCATAAAGAATAAAATCACTACCCCACCTCTCAGGTCGCCTTTATGTCATTATTAGTGCCAGGAGCCCAGGAAGTCCTGGGAAAGCTATCATTCACAGCACTTAACACAGTATCAATGACTATAACTTCTGCTAACAGAATGTATTGATCAACTCTGTACACCAAGCAGCATGAAGTTCCTGTCCCTACTACTGGATAAAGCACTTTATTTTTAAGAATACAATTCTATCTGTAGATAGATTTTATCAATGCATTAAACAAACATAGTATGACTGAAATTAATTCCAAAATGCTAATTTATATCAATATTATAGCTATAAACATTTCTAGAAATCCCCAAACTAATACATTAAATCATATTAAAACATCTCTGAGTGATCTCTGAATTAGCTTGATACCTCCAGAAATAGAAATAAGCACCATTATACCTAGCAGGAAACTATTGTTAACAATTCCAAGAAAACAGAATAACTAAGGGTGGCAGTTATAACTGCTAACAGGCAAAATTTTGGAGAAAATTCTAGCCAAAGCAATAATAGAAAAATGCAATGAAAACCAATATGAAGACAAATCATCTTTACATACAAATGATATTCGGCGCAATCCCAAGGACTGTGTATATTTTAAGTTGATTAAAAGCCTGAAGGATGCAATCTAGCATATTCAAGGTTAAAAGTATCTTTCACATAAAATTTTGAAGAGCAAGGGAGACATCTGCTTCAAAATTGTATTGAAGTAGAACTAAACATCTTCCAAATTTTTACTAAAACAAGTTACAAAGTGTTTTTTTCTAAAAATAATGTTCATATTTTAGGAAAACTAAAACTGATGAATGATCCATGGCTTAAATTAATTAGAAATACTACTAATTATAAGGGAGCTTGATTAGATTGATTAATGAGATAACTTTTAAACTATGGCATAACAACTTTATGAAACAAAGACCATGTGGGAGACAGGAAGTGACATGCACCTCTGTAACTGCTTCCCAGTGACCCAGATGATAAGTAAAAGAGAGTAAAAGAAAGGACTGAAAAACAGTAAGACAAGACCTGACTCAAAAGGATGCATTAGTTATTAAATGTTTAATGATGAGTCACTTCAAAACTTAGTGCTTAAGACACTGAATTTTTAATACCCATTCCATTGCTGAAGGCCAGAAAACTGAGACATGGTGCTGTGTATGGTCTAGTACTGGGGTGGAGAGGAGATGTCACTAGGGTTAGTCACTTGCACGCTTGGTCAGTGCTGGAAGATACCATTCCAAGGGGTTCACTCTCATGTGTGACAGAGTAGTTCTGGCTGGGGCTGGGCTTTCTCACCACAAAATCTCTCCACGTCTTCTTGTCTCTGAAGCCTCTCCCCCCCCCCCCCGCTCTAGAATGAGTTGTCCAAAAGAAAAGCCAAAGAAGGGGACAAACATGACTTCTGTGACCTAGCTGTAGAGCCATGTGCCATTATCAGGTTCAGGTTACAGACACAGAGATCACCCTGATATCATTTGGCTAAACGAGGGCATGACTATCATCAGCAAGACCTCTGTATGGGGGACCCTGCAGAGAAAGGGACCATCACAGGTTACTTAGGGAAATGCAGTGGACTCGCAATGTTAGCGCTCTTCAAACCAGATCAGCTAAAGAATGTCCCCATGTCCTAAGAAACTCAAATTCTTCAATCATTACTGTGCATATAAGAAAACTCTGAGGACCAAGAAAAAAGTACCATTTTGAAGAAAGAGAGTTATCATAGGTGGAAGGGAGCTGGACACTAAGAAATGAACCTGAATTCTGCATTGCAATCTATACTTCCATGATTCAGAAAAAGGCAAAGGGATCACCCAGTGGGCAGACAGCAGGCGGCAAAATGGCACCCACTGGCTAGGCAGGTCACAGTGAGAATCCACTGAAAAACACAGAAGAAAGGAAAGGAAGATCAGCAACCAAAATCCCCGGAAGAACACACTTTCACCATGGCTTTCTTTGCACAGCATTGTGAGGTTCTCAACTTGACTGGACTACACAGGTCAGGGGTCAGTTCAATACTAGGTGTACTTCATTACAGTACAAAGCTGGGCTTCCAGGATTATAACAAAAAATTTCAAAAAATCATAAGACAACTCAAAAGAAGCAAAAATTTTAAAAATGGTCTTTTGGAAAAGACTTAAGAAAACAAAAGTCAGAAAAGAATAGCACAGGACCCAAGAAGTTAACAAGATGAACTAAAACACCCAACACACAAGACAGAGGAAGCAGGCAGAAGGACCCTGAAAAAACAAAGTCTAACTTTACGTTAAGTGAAGACTGTATTAGATGTAAAATTTCAAAGCATTAGTTCAAGAGGGTGAATTCCACACCTGAGGTGCTTCCCTGCAATACACAAGAGAAGACAGAGAAGGATGTGAGATGCGACAGCCAGCGAGGGAACTGAGATGGAAGAGCCGCTCGCTGTGTGTAACTCTTCTCCTCGGAACCAGTCTCCATACATGCTCTAAAGAAAGCTGTGCATGCACAGTCATAAGAGCAACACAAACCTGGAGAAACCTATGTGAGACAAAACCATGCCCGGGGAAAGTCCTAACCCCTACACAGGAAACCAGGGCTGGGCCACACTCGTAAAACTACACAGGAAGGACTCAGACTGCTCTGCTCACTAAGTAGCAGTTATGTTGAAGCACCAGCCAGCAGAGCTGAGAGGTCAGAGAGAGCGACCTTTGGATTTTTACCCTCTGAAAATGCACCTACCACACAGCAACAGAGCTTCTGAGATGTAGACCCCTTCAGTCATGGCACCTGTGCACCTTGTGTCTGCAACACCTACGCAGCTACTAAGCCGCGAGGTCTTCAATAAACATGCACTGCGTGAAAGAAGACACACCTCGTAATCAGAAAATATAGCTCTCTCACACTTTTTAGCAACACTTAGTGAAATGTATGGTGGCCAACTGAAAGGGAGAGAAAGCTGGCTCCTGGTGACTCCCGGGACTCCTGCATGAATGACATTGTCGGTCCTCTTTAAAGACTGCAGGCTACAGAATTCTTACAGGTCTAATAATTTAAGCTAAAAAAAAAAAATAACTAATGATTCTGTCCCTAACAGCAAATGGCAAGTTTAAGATGTGATTCTTGGTAAAGTTCAAGCATTGTCAGTGTTCAAGGAGGAGGGAGGGTGTCAGGGACGCCGCTGGAATCCTGGCTCGCGTGGTGACACATGAAAAGCAGTTTCCAAGCTTAAAAAACTAGACTCAATGAAGTTGAAACTACTTCTGGGAAGCTTAAAACTAAGCAGGAATAAAAACACAATATATTCATTTCAGAAAACTACAGAGGGTAACAATCAAAAGATGCAGAACACGAAGGCTATGAGGCAGAACAGAATGCAGGAAACTGAGGACAGGGAGCAAACAGCGGGTTTGGAAGTTCCTGCAGGTGGGCTGAACTTCACACCTCAGGGCTGGAAGACTAAGGGTGAATTTTCATCTTAGAGACACAAGGAAAAGGGAAAAAGAAGATATCTCTGTTCTGCTTACAAAAGACGCATTTAAGTCAGATAAATACAAGTATTTTTTAAAGGTCTGGCAGATGTATTAACAAGATTAAGAAAGGAATACAATAAATACATTGTTAGAAAAAGTTACACGCTAGACTAACATCTTTAAGTGGTAAGAAAATTGATCAGATTATATTGCTCAGAGTTGAAAATGAAAATAGCTTAGTTATTTTAAAACTGTATGTGTGAAAATGCAAAGCCAAAGCTGCATAGATTCACAAACAGTAAAACCACTGTGTAAAATTCCAGTTTTACCTATTTTTGCTTTCACTGGGGAAGCACAGGATTCAATGTGAATAGGCAGACTGAATAATAGCATCATATCTCTGTGTGGAAGGCGTGGCATTTATCCTCTGCTACATATGGAATTGTGGTTTTTATAACATACTAAGTCATATGATTGTGTGTATTCTATTGCACATACGCTGCAGTATGTCTACATAACATGCACTATTCCATACTACACTAATACAGCATGTTATGGCATTAACACAAACTTTTACCAACACGGACACCTGTGGAATAGTCACTGAAAAATTGATCATATATGTTTCCAAAATTCACCAAAAGGTAGAGATTACTGAATGAATGAATGTATATATATATATATATATATATATATATATATATATATGTATCAAATATGCATAAACTATAACAAGTATATAAAACATATAACAGATTGTTAGGAAAAAAAAATCAAAGAACTATTCACAAACTGGACTTGATTGTAAATATTTTGAGAGGTAATTTTATAAAATTTTAAAGCACTGTATGTTCATAGTACAAAGTACAAACAGAAAGTCAGTCTACCAATTCACTTGGCTATGGTATTTTTTTTGTAAGCAAAACATATAAACATATTATTTATTTTTGGTTTTCAATTTTTTGGTTGTATTCAATTTTAAGTACAATTAACCATAAACATTTCTAGTTATAACCATTAAGGCACACACAACAAAACATTAAGAATGCTTTAACATTCCAACACATGGTAATATTATTTATCATACATGTTGACAAATATGATGATTTTCATAATTTGTTGAAAAAGACAATTTGATGATATTTGTCCTTTTCTGAATAGACATTTTTATGGAAATAGAAAAAGAGTTATTTTTCCATGTAATAAAGGAACTCTGTGGCCCTGGCATCATAACTGATAGAAAAACCACCAAAATTTTTCTATTATTAAGATGAAGATAACACAGTTGCTCTTATTCCTATCACTGAATGTTGCTTTGGAATGCCAATAATATCAGGAGACTCTTATGAAGAAATAAATTAGGAGGAAAAAACATTCAGCTTATCTTGCAAGGCCCAAACTACTCTAAGCCAAAGCCAGTCAGTAACACTTCAGGCGGGGCGCAGTGACACACATTTGTTATCCCAGTACTTGGGAGGCTGAGGCAGG